GGGGTACACAATAAGGGACTGAAAGATGAAAGGGGCTCCTTTCTCATAATAGAACATTGTGTGAGATGCGTAGAGGGTTATTCTTTAGAGATGGATCTGAGATCTCTTTTCCATGAAGCTCTGCCCTGGCTCCTGGAGCATGTTACAGAGTCTGCAGCCAGAGTGGACAGGAGCTGAGACAGAAGGCTGACCGCCAAGCAGTCTCCTGTCCTATAAACATCTCTATTGGTGTGTGGACACAGACAATCAACAACTCAAACCAGGAGAACCTGAGTCTGAGGAAATGGTTTTGAGATTCAAACTTCTCATTGGGAGATGAGCAAACACAATAAGAGGTAAACTACAAATGCCTACACAAGCCCTTTTCTTTCTTAGTGGCTCAGTTTGCAAGTTAAGGTGTTGCAGAAAAGCTTCACTCTGGAGGGTACCCTGGTTCATCTTCTTGAACCAACCTGCTTTTTTCTTTTATCACTGAATTATATAACAATGCAATGTATACAAATACTAATTCAGGTTCACTTGACAAATGTTTATTGAACTCCTACTATGTTCAGAGTACTGAGCTGAAAAAGCTCTGAGAAGTAACAGGTGAATCAGATATCAATCTTGGACATCCATGAAAAGCCTTGCATCATGTTAGGGAAGAGAGCATTGATTTCCACATCCCTCATAGTCCATGAGGAGCCTGCAGAGTCATCGTCCACCAATAGCCACTCTCCCAAGGTCAATAAGGAACAAGGATCCTCTAGAGAGGATCATCACTAGAAAATGAAGTGTAAGTTCCCTTTCACTTTCTCTTTGCTAGGCACATAATTTAATGAGAATAGTGACAGTTGATGCTCAAGCAAAAAGCAGCTGGGGGCCCAAGGCCATGAGTTTCTTACTCACAAAAGTAACAAATATGGTACATTTCCATTTTTTTTCTTTTAAAATAATAGTTGCACAAGATAACAAATTTAACAAGTCTTGGGGTCAAGATTTCTAGTTGTAGCAGGAATTCAGATATTTAAAAATTTGAATAATCCATAGGATTATTCTTTTATATATATAATAAATGAATAATCCTATGGATTATTCTAAAATTCACTGTAGATGAATTAACAAAGAATGATTCATTTCAGTAACACTACCCTCTCCATAAAACATAATATCTAAAATTCCCTATAGGGTTTGGAAGGATTGGAGGAGTATGGGCTGGGTGTATATTCTTAGTTTTCTTCAGAACAAAGTGTCATCTGAATTCTTGGGCAACTAACAGGATTTTGGGGCTAAAGACCTTGTAACAATCCATCAATGTACTAATTAACTTTTAAAACCTTCTTTATCATATAAGCTGAATACTAAATGATTCCAAAATAAATACATGCCTTAGGCAAATACTACCCTAAAGACTGTTGTTTAGCCTACAATGTTTAAAAACAGTTCAGCACAGTGAAGTATCCACATACTAATGATTCTCCTATCCACAGTCACAGGCATGTGCCAATGGGAGTGTACACAAGGGCTCTCAGCAAGAGACTCCAGCTCACATTTGAATTTTGAGGCCACTGTAGATAATCTTAGGATGGTATATTCATGACTAGTGTGTTCACACTTAATGAGAGAAAACAATCTCCTGCTATTTAGCACAAAATTATGACATGGGAATGTGTTGACTCAAAGATTTACCAGCCAAAAATGTTGGCAGAGCTCAGTGATGAGAGAGTAAAGTAGAAAGAAAAATATTCCATTTCAGGATAGAACACACCCATGAAAAAAATGAAACATTAAAACTGTCTTGTGGGGGCTGGGACTGTGGCTCAGTGTTAGTGCACTTGCCTTGCATGGGTGAGGCACTGGATTTGATTTTCAGCATCAGGTATAAATAAATAAAATAAAGATCTATCAACACTAAGGGAAAAAATATTTAAAAAAAAACTGTTTTGTGGGCTGGGAGTGTAGCTCAATGGTAGAGTGCCAGCCTAGTATGCACAAAGCCCCAGATTCCAACCCTGCCCGGCAAACACAAAAACAAGACAAAACCATCTTACAGTTATTGTTACTTTATTTGTGGATACTTTTTCTCTTGCTTTTTAATCTTCTTAAACTTTTTTGCTACATATTTTCATATCAAATAACATTATTATTTTCCTTTATGGTTATTCAGGTCACAGGGTGTGGTTTCTTTTGTTAGTGTTTTAGGTTAGAAAGTATTTTTTTGTTGTTGTTTATCTTGCTTCCTCCCAAATAGAAATCAGACAAGAATGACTTTCTGAAGCTTGAATTTCATGATTCTAGATAAAGGACATCTAAGCAGAATATTAATCCATTTCAAATGCACCTTTACAAACTGAATAACTACAGTTACTAAAAAATAAACTTTAATTTTTAAAAATATCATATTCTTGGGGCTGGAGATGTGGCTCAATCAGTAGCATGCTCACCTGGCATGCGAGGGGTGCTGGGTTTGATCCTCAGCACTACATAAAAATAAAATAAAGATGTTGTGTCCACCGAAAACTAAAAAATAAATATTAAAAAATTCTCTCTCTCTCTTTAAAAAAATATCATATTCTTCACACATTATTTTCCATTTCTCTTCATGTTTACATAAATGGATCTCAGGTGTTTTCCTCATATATATGATGAATGGGTTTGTCTTTCTTTGCCTGTGAATAATAAGATTGTACACCTTGAGTGGCTTAAAAAAGTAAAAAGCAAGTGCCTGTACTGGCATTCTTTTATAATGTGATTCTTTCTAACTTTTCTTTATGAAAGTGAAGCTAAGACTGGGCTTATGAAGACTCTGGTAATATGGCTCTTCAAATCACCTTTAAAGAAGTGGCTCTTTGTTGTTACAGGGCTCAGCAGGAAAACAAACCTCTTTCCTACGCCTAAAGACTTTCAGTTTTTCATATCTTTGCATATTAAGATTTTAACATGGGGCAGAGCATGTGGCTCATTGGTAGGGCACTTGTCTGGCATGTGAGGCCCTGGGTTCCATCCCTAGCACAGAAGGGTGAGGTCTCAGAGGGTAGGGTTGGGTGGGGGTGGGGGCAGGTAGAGATTTTAACCCACAAACTATCAAGTATATCAAATATCCTATCTTTTACCTGGAATGTTCAGCAAAGTTTTAATTATGATCACAAATGATTCAAAATCTTACTGAGCATATTTTCAATTCTTTTGCAGCGCCTTATGAATGCTAGACAGGTGCTCTACTACTCAGCTAAGTCCCCAGCCCACTGAGAACCTATTATATGTGACCTAGGTGACTAACCTAGATACCTTGACAACAACTTGAAACAGCAGTCATTGTATGACAATTTGAAATTAGATTCTTCTTTTTTGGTTGCCAGGGATTGAATCCAGGGCCTTCTGCCTACTAAGTATGTGCTCTAGTGCTAGGCTAACTCCCAATTGTCCCACACCCCGCCCACTGTTTAGGCAACATAATTGTATATCTTTAGTATTTTTTCTAAATTGGAATCTATTAGGTTTCTTTGTTCTATCTACAAAACACACAAAGGATTACCTTTGACAGAGAGTGACAAAGCTAAGAACACTGTTTCTGTGGTGAAGTGTTAATTTACCAAACAAAATATCTCCCCTTTCAAAATGTGAAAGAACAGATTACAGTCTCTCAGATTCAGGGAATTAAGTCCCAAGTCTGAACAAAGGTCCTCAAACATACATTCTTGGGATGAACAGTATTTATTTATCTTAGAAGCTGACATCTTCAAATATTTCAGTTCAGATGATCAAATAAGTAGGGACAGATCTTTGGCTTAATAAACTTCAATAACTAAAATGATCTGCTTCAGGCATATTACTGCTACTTTAAAAAGAGACCAGGTGTTGTTCATCACTCTGTCCCAAGGTGAATCACACAGGGGTATTTTCCAACACACACACACACACACACACACACACACAAACACACACACACACTTTTCTAACACACATGTATACATATTTTTCATACAATTAATTTGCTTGACTGTAGTTTCTCATCCCTCCTCAATCCACCTGTGAAAGTACTGCTTGTTTGAAGTGAAAAACAGACTTAGGAATCTACCTAGACTATGACTCTAAACCCTTAAAGAGGATGTCTTAATAAATTGTGCTTTAAATATGATCACCACGCTTTTTCAGTTTAAATTTAGAGGCAAACACATAGGCTCTCCTGGCATTTGACTTTCTGAGTTAGCCTCTCTCCCAGTTTTCCCCCATAGGGAGCTGTTATTTTTGGTAGGTCCTTTTCCACAATGGTTTCTCTTAATGTCTATCCTTTTTAATGATGTGTCCTTATAGACAACTGTGTCTTAGTGTGTTGACACATAGTGACATGCAATGTATACTACAGACATTCTGCACCCTAAATTGAGAGACTCCCACTAGTGGATCTTGCTCCTTCTGCTGTGATTCTAAACATCAAAGATGAAATCAATTGTGAAAAACCCTAAGTCTTAACATAACTACAGAAAAACAAAAAAGACAAATTATGAAAAGCAGGTAAGAAACACAATAAAAAGAAGAGTCCTGAAGGGAGACTTCCATGAAAGTTTAGAGACATCTAAAAAGTTTGTTATTTTCAAAAAGAACATACAAATCGTACATACAAAAAGGATACGAGCCTTCTTGCTTTAGTAGCACTATTTTGGGGACCAAGGATTGAACCTAGGGTACTTGACCACTGAGCCACATCCCCAACCCTTTTTTAATATTTCATTTAAAGACAGGGTTTCACTGAATTGAAAGTGCCTAAGTTACTGAGGCTGGCTTTGAATTTGCCATCCTCCTGCCTCAGTCTCCTAAGCTGCTGGGATTATAGGTCCTGGGCTTTGCTAGTAGAACTTATTTTGATATTGTAGAAGTTACAAAAAATATCATTGTTCCAATAAGTGGAGACCTGAATAGAATGCCAAGAATATGCAAACTCTACCACACAGCAAGGCAGAGAAAGAGGGTACAGGTGTTTTCCTGGATTCGGGATGGTTAGTGCTGGGCTGTGTGCTTACCTGGACCGAGCCTCTGGGGCCAGTGTCTGGTCACCACTGGAGTGGCTCAGGGAGGCAGGATGTTGAAGAGAGGAGCTGGACATTTGCTTTGGGGACCTTGGCACTTCAGTAAAGCAGGAGTCTCGCCCAGCGAAGGAAGAGTCTCGCCCAGAGAATGAGAAGGATGAGGAACTCTCAACTGTTGGGGACAGGTCTTGAGCCTGCCGGGTGGCACTCAGCTCTTGACATCCTCTTTGGTTTTCTATATTTAGCAGCACCTCCTTATCAGAAACCTCACTTCTGTGGAGGGCATAGTCCCTGGATTCCACTGCACAGGTCCTGAGCCCCATAGTCTCAGTCCTGGAGTATGGAGAACTCAAATCTTTGCTTGATTTTTCTTGCTTCTCACATTTTCCACCCCGTTTCTCAACAGCATCAGGGTCTTTCCTAGACTTGGTATACCGAGATGAATATTCAGAGTCTACTTCAGGATCCAGAGTCAGCCCATATTTTTCTGCCAGCTGACGTCTCCTTTCTGCTTTGTACCTTGCAATTCTTTCAGCTTTGGACTCAAGACTGTGGGTGTCCATGGTACTTGAACCATACGGTGAATCGCCATGGACCCCTGGGGTTTCTGTGCAATATTTGGATTGAACTTGTTTTTCTAAAGAAGATTTAGACATTTCTTCCTCTTCATTTGATCGACCTATGAGAAGACCACATGGATAATACATACAGGTTCCAGGAAAAACTTATAGTTACAATATTTACACACATAAAGACATTCTATGCTGCACATAATATGCACTGAAGTGTTTGTGCTGTGAGGAACTGATTTATTATGTAGGTCTACAGACCTAAAATGATTCACCTGAGATGCTGAACAAGTCTGAGAGCTGGGGTAAAGTGTGTGAAGGTCACACAGAAACCCAGTCCTGCACTCCCCAGGGCCTCCTCAGGCCTTTTTCAGTGCTTATTTTCCCTTAATTCTTTTCCTTTTTTTTTAAAATTAATACTTCACATGTGAAGCCAAAGGACAATTTTAGATTTTTCTAGAAAATACAGCACATATGGTAACTGCTGTAATTTGACAAGTGATAAGTTGTGGTTTCATAGGATCTGAGAGTAAGTACAACAATATGGCCTGTCTCTCTCTCTCTATAAAACCTAACAATATGTAACATATATGATTATATGTATATTTACAGAAGTGGCTTTTTTCCAACTGTAGCACATATGTATGATGTAGAGGATGTCTAACAAGAAAACACATAAAGGCAAAAGCCTAAATCACCAATAATCAAACTATGTACTAATATATTCACAACTTGACATTTTTATGTATTTCTTTAGTCTTTTTTAAGCCTTATAATATTCTATCCAACAGGCATTCCATAATCCATTTAACTCTTGCCATATTTCTGGGCTTATGTTTCTAACTTTTAATCAGCCTGATTTTCTGATAATTACCATAGCAGAACAATGTATAACAGTAGAATTGCTTTATCAAAGGGTACATCATTTTGAGACACATGCTAGACTGTTAAATTTCTATAAGTGTGCAGCAACTTAAACTTATATCTGCAATACATGCTTCCTTAGAAATACTGAGTGCTCATTGCTTAAAAAATTGCATTTGACCAAAAAAAGAATATATGTATTTTTCTCACCTGTTTATTAGCCATTTATATTCTTTTTATATTCATTTATATTTATATTCTCTTCTCCTTCTAGGGAATGCCTGCCCAGTCTTATTTCCCTATACAATACTGGCAGTGTCATTTTTATTGGTTCATGTAAATTTTTTATAGGAATACTAGCCCTGTGTCTTCTTCAGGAATATTTCCAAAATTACCTGGGCTACTGACAAGTCTGAGAGCTGGGGTAAAGTGTGTGAAGGTCACACAGAAACCCAGTCCTGCACTCCTCAGGTTTAGTTTTGTTTCCAGTGCACACGAGTAAGATTTTCTTTGAAGTGCAGATATTATCTCTTAAGTAGTCAGGTCAAGTGACTATATACTTCTACTACTACTATCATTTATGATAACCACTATATTCAATTGTTTCTGTGCTTCAAATGTCACTTTCTATTTCACTTGAATTAAATATTTGACCATGTTTTCATGTTTCAAATTATTTTGTTTAAAACAATCACATGAGTAACTGAATCTTATTTTGGGGTTTGGACTGAAGCAGAAAGAGGAATATGTCCCCTTTTTCTCCCCTCTTGGTGAGCTCATTTCCCCAGTACTATTCTATGAAATAATTCTTTTCTCACTAATATGTGATGCTTAAATTACTATATGCTGCATAGTTTAATATTTTATGAATACTTGGATTTGCTTCTGGCTATAAATTTTGGTATTCTGATTTATTATTGATTCTTCATGTATGTCATTAAAAAAAAATTTAGTTCTCTATAGTTTTCTTGCTATAGAAAACCAGAAACCATAGATAAGCAAACTGGTAACATTACAATGTGAGATCAGCATTCCTCTCTGAGGGAGAAACCAGAAGACACTGGCTATAAAAAGTAGCAACGCAGGCCTCAAAGCCAGGGACTGGGGGTGGGAACATCAGCCCTGAGAGCATTGCTTTCTCCTGAGGTCAAGCTGATGTCCATAACAGTGACTCTGAATAATCAAGGAGAAGATGTCATGTTTGACACGCTGCTTAGTAAATGAAATCAACATGTAGTCCATTTACATACTCCAAAACAATTTTAAAAGAATGCTTTGTTGCATAAACAGAGTTAAGTTTCCTCATCATTCAAGGTCCAGCTTTGCCTTCCAACTCTCCCTGCTGAAAGCAGTTGCCTCTTTTGCTGGATACCTGGGCATCTAGTTCAAACCTACTGTGAGAACTACGAGGCACCTGTCTTATTCATTCCTTTACCAAACATAGTTCCTAAGTATTTCTGACTGCAGATCCTGTGCTGAGCACTGGCCTTTGAGGATTCCCAGTCCGGGGTGGGGGGGTGGGGTATGGCTGATCATCAGTTACCCCGCAATATGCCAAGGAGAGTCATTTTTACTGCTGTGACACCTGAGGACCACATGCATGATGATTACTCTGGCTGTTTTTAATAAACACATTTAATAAAGAGTATATACACATAATGCACTTTTGTTGAATATCTCTCCAATACCAGTAGATTAAAAAAGCTATGGGTAACATGCTGAGCAGCCTGCCTGGTGATAGTCACGCATGCTCACCAGTGTGGGGGCTGGCAGGGTCTGTGGCTCTCATGTATCTGGGCGTGTCTTCCTCCAGGAGGCGATGAGTCACTAATCCTGTGCAGCTCTGCAAGAGGATGGGCTGGGTTTCATTTTCAATCCCTTCCAGGCGCCTTGCAATTCTCTCTTTTCTGTGCAATATACCAAAAAAAAAAAAAAGTCATAGTGAGCCCCCAAAAATCATTGCTTAGGGACAATTGAATACTGCTTTGCCACACTGCCACACTCTCCTACTTATCTTACCTTTTCATTTCTGAAGGTTCTTTCTTTGGTTCAAAGAGTTTTCTTAATTCTGCAACTAAAACAAAGAAAGTACAGTAGTTAGTGGTCAAGCATTCATTTCATTCATTCATTCAACATAGGCTTTTTCAACTCCAATTTCTGTTCTTGGCTCTCATGAGCAGAGATACATGACACTGACCAAGTTCCTACTTTCTTGGAGTTTGTTTTCTAGTAGGGCAGGCAGATGCCAAATGAATAAGCACGTACACACAGCCATATTACAATCACAACACCCCCCCCCCACACACACACAAATATCCTAGGCTAAGAAATAAACTAATTTAGGCTAAAAATGTTCTCTGTCACCCAGGGGAGTCAAAGGAGGCCTCACTTGCAAGATCTCTCTAGTAAGGTGTTTTTTTTTTTTTTTTTTTTAGCAAAATCCAAATATCTCTTACTAACTTTGATATAACTTAATAATGTATTTTCAGCTTATAGTCTGGAAAACTTTTACAAAAGTAGAGACTAGTGCTCTGAAGAGCCAGAGGGCCATTAGAAAGCTACAGTCACCAATTCATAGTCACTCCTATTTCACCTTATTATTCAATCTGTAAATATCTTAACTACATGATTGTGTTACCTAACGTGGTATACCTTGACTAAATACAGTTCAGGTCAATGCAGGACCTACACCTCCCCTTACAGACTTTTACTGGAAGGAAATGCCAGTGTTTGTTTCCAGCTATAATTTAGGTGGATGATGGATAAAATGATTACCCAATTCTTCTGGCAGCACTGGATGAACAAAAAAATGTTTTGATGAGGCTGGGAGGTTCTCATGTGACACCAACTACAGGAATATGACTGACCTAAGATCCCAGACAATTGTTTCTTTGGAGAAATGGCCCAAGTTGGTAGAAAATAAAGGTCTTTATTCTCTCCTCCTCCTTCAATTCATAAGGGTTCATCTGAGTGGCTCTTATTGAAGACTCAGGAAAGGGTGGGAGAGAAAGAAAGACAGAGGAACAGGGGTGGCTGGGTAGCCTGCAGCCAATGACAGTGCTAAAAGTCTGAGTCACAGGAGAAACTCAAAGGGTGGAATATGAATATGTTGAATTTAATTTTCAATTGCTTTAATCTCTGATTCTTATTATTATCCAGTGACCTTCAGATAATATCAGATGTGTCACCCACCTCCTAAAGCAATCAGTTTTAGGAATGAGTCTAAAACTACACAAATATATATG